GCCCAGAGGACCGGAGCACTCACAAGCTTGTAAACAGCGTGTGCGTGCTCCCAAAACCCGATATGGTCCTCTGCTCCCGCCATATCTGCCCCTCCCACTGACCGTCCTGATCAAACCACCCTCCCCTAACCCCCCAACTTCCTCCCTCACCGTTCTAATGCCACGCCCCTCAGACAGGTCTGGCCTTGGCCTCGGAGAGGCATCCCCCATGCCCCCCCTGGCTATCCCCGACATCAAACAATAGCTACAACAATACAAGGAGATTTTTTTTGAAGATTTAAAGGCAAAGATACGAAAAATGACCTGGCAGAGAAAAAAAGCTAGAATAAGATTGAAAAAGATTGGGGTTTTGATCTATACATGAGATTAAAATAGAATATATCTAAATGGATAGAATATGTATTCTGAACACAAGATATTGTAACAATTTGAGATAAAGAAAATTTTGGTCACATAAAATCTAGAAATATATTGAAATAAGAATATTATACTGTCTTATTAGATTGGTAAGATAGATGGTAGAATTTATATACAAGGTGTGTATTTTAAATATTATAATGTATGAGGAATTGTGATAAAGAAATTGTGTTTAATTAAAAATCTGGAAAAATAAATATTAAATGTTAAATTAAAATATTAAGGGAAAATTAACCATCAGGTTACTGATTGGCTAAAAGTTTGAATGTTTACAAATAACTAAGATTTGAATTTAAGATATTCTTATGAATATCTTGAGACAAAGGTTAAGTAAAACTTAGAAGTATAAATACTAATAATTAAATTTGTATATGGGTTTGTGGTACAAATGTTGGTGGGTTTTTATTTATTTATTTATTTATTTTTCTCTTTCTGGAAAGGAAGAAAGAAAGGAAGTAGAAGGAAGAAAAGAAAAAAAAAATATTAGCCCCAAATGTGAGATATGAGACTTAGAAATTGGGATCATTTAAAATCTGGAAATGATAAAGATTAAACGTTAAACTTAAATATCAATGGAAAATTAAATTAAGAAAAAATTACTAGGTTATTGTCTAAAAGATGGAATGTCAAATTAATTAAGATATATATAGACTGAAGATTATTAATGAATATTAGAAAGGTACTTTTTGTTTGATTGATAGAATAAGAACTGTATTGGTTCGAACATGACAGTAGATATTATGGGGAAAAGAGAGGGAATTAGTTGTTGTAATACTTTGAGATTTGTACTAATGATATTCAAATGTAATGGAATTACTGTGCTCAGCCGCCACACTACTTTTCAAATATGTAAATGTAATATTGTAAAATTAATTAAAAAAACTTGGGGAAAAAAGGAATTCTGGGAGTTGAAGTCCACGAGTCATAAAAGAGCCAAGGTTGCCTATCCTGGATCTAGGAGAAGACCTTTTCCAAATATCTGATGAATAACTTTCTGTAAAAGTAGAGCACTTCAAAAGTCCTTCTTCTGCAGCTCCTATTATATGGAAAGCTTCAACATGTCTGGACAACTTAGTATCTGCAGAAATCATCTCTCAAAAATGCCCTAAGTCAGAGATTCCCAAACTTTCTCAGTTCATAACATTGTGAAGTACTTTAGTGTCTCAGTAATTTTTTCATGGAATGCTATTGTACGAATGGAGTGCCAGTGAACAGTTTGGGAACCACATCTATAAGTTATTTAAAGTATCTTAAATTGTGCTTACAAAACAATCACACTCTAGTGCAGATTTTTTAGTATTATCATCATATGATTCAGTATCTTACATTGATATCCCATTTTGACTGAGTTGAGATCTTTTAAAGGGTACCCTCATGTGATCAATAATTAAGTTGCAATATGTGTATACTGTATGTGTCCATGTAAGAAACTTTCTATATTATTTGCTAGTTACCTTATTCCTACTGAAATTAATAGATATAGCTCAACTACGATTAAGTAATTTGAGAAGGAGGGGGGAGAATCCACAGGCAATAAAATGGACATGCTTTCTTTCAATAGCTGGGATAAAAGGTGCCTAAAATATATGTCCACTTTATTCATGGTTATCATAATGTTTCTATTAGTACAATCTTCTGAACAGCCATATAAAAGAGAGGCAATTGTTCAATTTTATTTAAAGTAGTTAAGAACCTAACTTGACCCTGTTGATTTAAAAATTATAGACCAGTTCCAAATGGACTATTTTTAGGCTACGTTTCACCAATATATTGAAGCTCTCTTTCTGTCATCTCTCAGCTCTCTCATTATGTCATATCATATAAAGCAAGGAGACAAAATGTTCACATTGTCTGACTGAATGAGGCTGAGATGCTGGCTTGACAATTGGATTCAAGTTGGTTTAGAAGGAGTTGTATTCCCCCAGAAAGAACCCAAACATTTTCCCTGACCTTATATTGTGCCTGGATTCTCAGATGATGCTAATATCTGCCCACTGTGCCACTAGTAACCTTTCCATAACTAATCCATATACTGTATTTCCCTATTTATTTTAAGGTTATTTTATATTATTTAAATAATTTATATTTTATTCTTTCAGTATGGTTAAAATTGGCTTGTTCATGTTTGTTTCTTTTTCAACTCTATTATGATTCTGAATGGACAGGTAAGCAGTATTAGGATTATTAAGTAAATAAATACAGCCTATAAATTACCACTGGGCATAGTCTTAGAATGTAGAATATATTATTTAAAATCTCAATAAGCAAACACATAAGTACCACCCTCAAAGATCTATGTGTCTGTGGGGCAGTGTGTTTGCTGTGTGTGTACTTGCCCATAGATACGACTTATCTCACATCATTTTCTCTGTACTGGAGAGATAACATCATAGGTCACATGTAGAACACTGAAGGTTTCTATTTTGCACCCAGAGTTTGAAAACAATTCTGAACAAAGTTTCACAGACTTTGAGTAAGAAGACTGGAAATCTTTCAAAGCAATTCTTAAAACAGTCACAACTTTCATTCAGGCTCACCTGGAAGCCTGAAAAGCTTTATTGAATAACAGAGAAGTGCTCTGATTGTACAAGGTTAAAAAAAAAATCCTTCTTCTGAATTATTATCGAAGTGTGCAAAACCCCTTCTTCTTTAAGGGTTTTTTGAATACTGAATTAAATGGATTTTATTTTAATAGGTTTTATTAACTATGGGTAGATGCTGTTTGCCCACCTTTCAAAACAAAAGTAATTGAAATGTATTTTAAAAGAAGTGTTCCTTAGGAGTTTTCTAAGTACATAATGCAACTTCTGCTATTATCTGAATAATACATCCAAAATAGAATCTTAGAAACAAAAAGAAACTGGAATACTTTATTTCAAGAAACAAGAAGCAATCAATCTATTATACTTACCAAAGTCTCCACCATGTTGGACTTGTTGTTCCGTAAGGTTTTCACTATGTGAAATACATCAATGATATTTTGCTGCTGGATCATTTCACACACACTACATATGGCACAGAAGGTGCCACTGCGGCCACCACCATTCCTAGCACAAATAAGAGCTGGTTTAGGAAATTACATATGTTCATAATAGAAGAGTACTCCAAGGAGATCTAAGAGATCTACCCAAATGCAAGACTACCAATTACATGTAACAGCCATATATACAATTTACTTGCATGAATGTTTTTCATAAAAATAGTTCAATGACATTGAGATTCAGAACAGAAACAGCAGACATAGTAGCATTCTAATTTTTCTTGTTGGGACGCACAATGTAAGTTCTATCATATCATAATATATCATATCTCATCATATCAATGTGTGATATGTCTGGACCATATAATTAATAAGAACAGGTTATCATCAATATTTGGCATCCTTGGATAATTTTCACTTTCTTTTTTCCAGCTGTACAATTTTTTCCGGCAGTACAGTATTCATACTGTACATGCTGATTTAGCCATCATTCAACATTTCTCCGTGATCTAGAGTAATGAGACTCATCCATCAGACATCACAACATAAATATTCTAGGACTTAAGAATGGAGAAGGGGAGCAGCTTAGAATGACCATTGAACCAGAGTCATTGAGAGTCAGGCTTAATGATAACAAACAAACAACATACTGATTTTTAGCTCTATAAGACTATAATGCTGTATTATGCAGACATTTGGATCTTCAGGTTTTCTTTAATTATGCGTATCAAACAGTACAGGGTAATTCGCCAAAGTGACCATGTTTGCAATGCTTCTTCTTTTAAGGCAGGCAATCCAGACTTAATACAGAAAACAAGGATGCAGAAATGCTTACAGGCAATGAACCACAGTCCGACCATCTCGCCCATCATATTGCTCCTGCCACTTTTCCAACCGCCTGACCACTTTCAGGAGAGAGCGCTTAGAAGGAGGAGTGTCTCTATATGCTGGCCAGCCAATATACTGCAAGTGTTGAACAATACGGT